TCTTCAATCTCCTACTTGGTACAGTTAGAACATATATAATTTTCAAAATTGTGTCTATATGTATCATAGGCAGTTTGGCGGGGTATAGGTTTTAACATGGATTTTATATTTGTCTTATATATATAGAGATTATCACGCGAGTGCGTTTGGGGATGGTAAATATCCTGTATTAGGAATAAACATTGTATTTAGCGAGCGTGATGACCTCTTTATCATAAAACGGCATTCTTCAATTTTGTGCTTCAAAATCGCTTTCCTTCTCTCACAAACATTACCGAAACATTGCAAGTTTTCCTGGAATGTGCGCATTAATATATGTTACGTCTCAGGGTAAGTGATGTGTCAGTTGGACAGTGACAGTAGCCAATATGGTTACAACTGAAACATGTTTTTTATACAGTGGCGAAACAACATATACGCAAAACAACAATTGCCTTCACAATTTGTTTTTACTTGCCTTTCACGGCAATCCATCGGTCTGTCCACTAGAGTAACTGCCCTTTGTCAAAGGGAAGCTACTCTAACCCTAGTCTATGAGACGTCACGGCCACTGTCAGACGTTGTTGACAGTCTGTCCTGTCATAACATTACGAAGTGCACTTACATGTACACACAGCGACAAAACGAAACAATGTAACAATTCAAACATATTTCGGCCAAATCCAACTTTTTTTATTTATTGAAAAGGTTCAATGCTGTGTTCTAAGCCGAGCACAGATATGGCTACTGATCCCGCTTGGCTAGGACTAGTGCCCTCGCAAAATTGTTTCGCAACTTATGTCTCGAAAGTTGCTCAAACTTGTAAAATGCCTTAGCTACGTCACAGATTAACACTGATTTTCAGCACATTAGACTGTTCTTTTGATAATAAAAGCAATTATCCCAGTAGTTTCTCCAGGTTGACAAGTGTGACACCATGTTTGTTTGAAAACAGTGAAAGTAGTCCCTACTTGACCTTTCATATTTGCATCTCTATCTGCATATGACCCCAACAGATATCGTTTTTAGCCGTTGGCTTTATCCTGCCGAGAAACCTGCCCATTATATCATATATATATATATTCAAAATTCCATTCGTACCAAAGCTTTCACTGTTGAGTACAACTATATTGATACAGCCTTTTGTCATGAATTTTATATCTCTGGACGTTGTCTGGTCCAGATTCGGGCCACCGTGCTGACATTAACCATCATGTACATTTGTATTCACAGATATGTAAGGAATCTTTGCATTTATGTTCAGTGTAAAAGAAATTCTGATTCTTACAATTAGTTTTATGTTAAACTATTTTTTCCATGTTGTTACGCATCTGCATTTGTGCTTCAATAATTGATGGGATGCGTTTACTACAGTTGCGTAATTGGTTCTTTGTAAACATCAGACTCCGCCAACTTCCTTGGCATCAGCCACTACACTACCAACCTAATGGAGGAGCGACGTCACCGCCCCACCCGCCATTAATGACGACCGGACCGTCACCGAGTCCATAAACACATTGAAGGAATGGTGAAGGTTTTTTGTTGTTTTTTATATTAAGAGCGATCAGCATTCCGTCCGTTCGGCTGTCTTCCGTCCGTTTCCCTTTCCGGAGCATAACAGAAAAAAACGTTGAATATTTCTTGTTGTAACTTGCTACACAGATCAGTGCATTGGTGAACTGGTGTCTTTTGTAGATCCGGGATATCTATTGGTTATATTTTTTATGTTTTCATGACGAAAAGTTTGGCTGAAAATGAGGGTAAAGCTCGTTTCCGAAGCAGAACTCGTACTTGTTGAAATTTGCCCTGCATATCAGTCTTGTGGTGAAGGGTGCCTGTTGATGATTTGGGATTTTTAAAAAAAGACTGAACAACATTATTTTCTGGCATGCCGGTCATTTTGTTGTGTGTGTTTTTTTTATTATTCCTTTGATAGATACGATATCTATGACAGAGAAGAGAAAATTGGAATTCAATTACTATTCTTTAATCCTTCAGATAACCAATTATGATAATAATTTGTTTTGTGTCTTTTAGCCGCGTCTTGCTGCTTTATTTGCCTTTGTCAGATATATTTTTAACTCTGTCAAAGACATGTTGAACAGAGGTATCTAATGGCAGTGATTCAAAAGTGGGGTATAAGTAGCCAAAATCCATTTTCGAATTGCACCAGATCGGGGGATATGTCATCTACTGATAACTCTTGTTACTTTTGGAGAAAGCCGTTTCTCATAATCTACTTTTAGATCAGATTTCAGTGTCCTTCTCTTGGATGAAGTCAGCTGGCCTGTAAAGTGAAACAGAACGCTTTCTAATTGCTGCCCAGGACCACTTGAAACCGCCAATGAGTGATTGTTAAACACACATTGTAAATATGAAAGGTAGAACATGCAATAAGTTTAATTAGACTGACCAATACATGTCAGTGGGTGTCCAGTTTTGAAAACAAACACAGTATCTTAAGCGACATGGTGAATCCTTTTATTACTGTCTTCGCCATGCTTGTGGTTTTGAAACAGAGGTCTATCTATGGTACAACCCAGCATATGTAAAGGGCGTCAAGGACAATGATAAATACAAAATTCTTTAGAATAGGCCTATTTACAGCCTCAGACCTATCAAGGCCAACAAAAATAATCTTGTCCTATTTGATAAATCCAATGAATCATTTACATCATTAACATTTTCATATAGTTTGTCACCTAGTCCATGTAGTTGCAAATTTACAGCATATACAAATCTACTCAGGTGTGTATTTGCGGTAACATGATGAAAATACTAACATATGTAATATTTTGCATGTTTGTTTGTTTGTTTGTTGCTTTACGTCGCAGTCGGCAATATTCCAGCTGTATGACGGCGGTCTGTAAATAATCGAGTCTGGACCAGACAATCCAGTTATGGACCTCATGAGACAATCCAGTGATGGACCTCATAGCATCGATCCACGCAATTGGAACCGATGACATGCATCAACCAAGTCAGCGAGCCTGACCACCCGATCCCGTTAGTCGCCTGTTTCGACAAGCAAAGTCGCCTTTTAGGGCAAGCATTGGTTGCTGAAGACCTATTCTACCCCGGGTCTTCACGGGTCATTTTGCATATGTAAAGTAAATAACAGGATGTAAAGACCAAAAGCGGAAACACGGTCAAGTTCTGTGAAATGGGTTGAGTTCTTGTCATCCTTGTCATGTTACGTGGAATAGCTCTCACTGGTTTGTGTGGTACATACTCGATTATTAAGAGGCCGCTGTCATATAGCTGGGATATTACTCAGTGTTACTGACAGTTAAACAAAAATATTCATGAAGCTTGAGGTAATGAAAAAATATGCATGAAATATGCAAACTTTAACTCGTCGCTATACGGAAGGAATACTACTCATGTACTCACTCATTCAAGCAAACGTTCACGCATGTTTAACATTGTGGATAAAACATATTCAATATTAGGTTATGACTAGAATATTTTTATTTTATTTTTATGTTTCGCATTGATCAAGATGACCACAAGGACATTATTTACCGGCGCAACAAGAAAGGGGGACGACAAAATATTCGCTGTTGACAATTGAGGGAGGTGCTTGAAACATTACTGACTGAATAAATAATGTGAAGTGTGATATTAGGAATAAATGGGATTTAAAAGACATAATTTGTTCCAGATTACACTGAATAATATTTTTGACATAGATATACCAAAAACAAAATGTTCGTAAAATATGCTGGACAGTTTGATGTGCTGTGAAAATATATGTTGTAAAAAAAGAGTTCGGCTCGTCCTTTCATAGAAATAATGTGTATGGTTTAACGCAGTGACAGAAAAAATGTCCTATTTCGTGCAAGAATTTCAGTTGCCGTACTTCAAAGAGATTCCGATTCCATTACATAGAGGTTATCACGCGGTTTTGTTTGGGGATGGTATTATCCTGCATTAGTTGGATTAAGACCAAATATGTATAAATTGTTACCTTGTTTCGTTTTGGCGCTGTGTTTACATCTGACTGAACGTCTTAAAATTATGACAGGACAGACCGACTGTCAACAACGTCTGACCGTGGCCGTGACGTCGCATAGACTACGGTTAGAGTAGCTTCCCTTTGACAAAGGGCAGTTACTCTAGCGGACAGACCGATGGATTGCCGCGAAAGGTAAGTAAAAACAATTGTATTTAGCGAGCCTTGGCGAGCTAAATACATAGTGTTTATTCCTAATACAGGATATTTACCATCCCCAAACACACAAGCGTGATAACCTCTTTATCATATAATGTCATTCTTCAATTCTGTGCTTCAAAATCGCTTCCCCTCACTCACAAACATTACCTAAACATTGCGAGATTTCCTGGAATGCGCGCATTAATATTCATTACGTCACAGGGTAAGTGATGTGTCAGTCGGACAGTGACAGAAACCACTATAGTTCCAACTGAAATATGTTTCTTATACAGTGGCGAAGCAACGTATACGCAAAAAAATTGTTTTTACTTGCCTTTCGCGGCAATCCATCGGTCTGTCCGCTAGGGTAACTGCCCTTTGTCAAAGGGAAGCTACTCTAACCGTAGTCTATGCGACGTCACGGCCACGGTCAGACGTTGTTGACAGTCGGTCTGTCCTGTCATAATTTTAAGACGTTCAGTCAGATGTAAACACAGCGCCAAAACGAAACAAGGTAACAATTCATACATATTTCGTCTAAATCCAACTATATTTATTTGTTGAAAAGGTTTCAAGCCGCAGAGGTCTACAAGCACAGATATGGCTACTGATCCCGCTTGGCTAGGCCTAGTGCCCTCGCAAAATTGTTTCGAAATTTATATCTCCAAAGTTGCCAAAACTTATAAAATGCCTTAGTTACGTCGCAGTTCGACACTGATTTTCAGTATATAAGACCGGTTTTTTAAAATATAATTATAGCAATTATCCCTGTAGTTTATCCAGATTCACGATGGTTAATTCTGACTCGGTCGCCGAATGACAAGTGCGACACCATGTTTGTTTATAAACAGTGAAAGTAGTCCTACTTGACCTTTGATATTTGCATCTCTATCCGCATATGACACCAACGGATATCGTTTTTTATCGGTTGGCTTTATCCAGCCCAGAAACCTACCCATTATATGATAAACTGATTTATCCACAAGAACTCGAAATACAAAATGAGTATTGAAATCGCCTCGTCTATATCATATTTAGATCTATGCATAAAGATTCAAGAGTGACAACAAACTATCCGGTGTGTTTTAATGGTATTTCAGCGAGCACAGTTCACAGTGACAATAAAGCAATCCATATGGCTGTATGACAAGAGGGATGACTCCAACTTTCCAATAGTCATTTTTCTCTATCGGTCGAACACTATTCGAGCAGCTTCAACCTCATCTTTAAACTGTCTGAAACACGAAATACGTTTAGACGACAACACAATTGCCAAATATATAATATAATAAAGTGCAAAATAAAAAACAACAACAGAATATCAGTTATCCAAACAGTTATCCAAAGAATCAGTACTAATGAACTTTTATCACGAACAAGAGCTTTGTTGCTGTCGCCCTGATGGTGAGATAGCGTCTGGAATATAGAAAACGCGACAGAAAACAATCCGCAAGTTTGCCAGAAGTATGGCAGCATTGTTTAACGATGGATGCATGTCACTTCGGAAACTAGTGTTTATCTTCCAGTCCTTTTCTCACAGACATGGGCGCTGGAAAAAGTAGAACCACCCATTAGCACTTGATGCTTCGGCGGATCCAACTCTCAGCTCGCAACCATGAGTGTTGTAGTTATAGTTGAAGCCGATGCAGGTTCTGTTGTAGATGCAGTGGGCGCTGCAATCAGCTGCAGATGCGGCATCAACTTGGATTACATCCCCGACATACCTGGTTCCCACCACGCGCTGAAGTTCGGTGCTGAAACCTATGAGCAAAGGTCTTTTCCATAACTAAAATTAATCACATATACATTTTGATATATTTTATTGTGTTTTTGTATGATAGTTTTTGATCAATGGGTGAATACAAGAGGCTAAATACATTTTGGTCTGGAGAGTACGTATATGCTTGTCGTAAAAGGCGACGAACGGGATCGGGTGGTCAGGCTCACTGACTTGATTAATACATGTCATCGACCCCAATTGCGTGGATCGATGCTCATGATATAAATCACTGGATTGTCTGGTCCAGACTCGATTATTTACAGACCGCCGTCATATAGCTGGAATATTGCTGAGTGTGGCGTTAAACAACAAACCAACCAACCAACCCAACATCCATCGAAATAACTATATCCGCCCTCATGTATCGGTATTCGTGCTTACAGACATATACCCTCCTACCATTCCCCTACATCCATCGCACTATAACTATGACTATAACCGCCTTCGTGCATCCGCACTTACGTTCATATTGCATTGCATGCATCGAAATACACGTTTAAAATATCGTAAATATTTTACAATATGTACATATTAAATATCAGCAAACAGAGATTATTATAACGCAATAGATTTCATCCGTCAAAACATCACAATCCAAAAAGAGATAGTGACCTAAAATAGAGAAATATCATACGATTTAACTTGTCCACCATCTTGGATGCAAGATGAAACATTTCAGGGCGTTTGAAGCCACTGAGAATGCCCCCTGCAGAGTTGGACGAACATTCTGCGGTAGCGCGGCTTAGTTGACAAGAGGCTATCAGCAGTATTTCCTGTCCAGGTTATGTAAATCCGTTGTGTGTGTGTGTGTGTGTGTGTGTGTGTGTGTGTGTGTAAGTGTGGGACTGTTGGATGTTTCAGCGGGATGGTAGTTCGAGTTGGATAAGCATGTTAACTATATGATCTTCTTGAGGTAGAGAATGCCGCGCATGAATGTATCACTGCAAACACGAAAACGTCGTTTTTTCCGTATATGGTCATTGGACGGAAAAACGACGTTATTTGGACGTTTTCAAACCATCGTTTTTCCGTCCAAATAACGTCGTTATTTGACATCGGAATTTACTGGGAGTGAACGATAGCGTTAAGCTCCTCCCTTTCTTGATTGACATTGTCAATCAAGCAACAGCGTCTACCGGTATTTCTACTTCTCAGATTTCATTGGTCAGTCCCCGCGTGTTAGATTACAGGCGCGCGTTTGACCCTGCACTCGGAGCGCTTAGCGGAAGTACTGAAATCAATCGTTCTGCGCATGCAGATTACTTAATGCCTTGACCATATTTTCCGTTCTGTGCATGCGCGATTTCGCGTATTGTTTCCTGGATTTAATGTCACCACTATTTGACAATGGTTCATAAACACAGTCACGTGAAGGTTCGGAATCGTAACGAGTAACTCCATTTAAATTGAAGAGGATCCCCGGTGATATGGGAAATTCCAAGATGAAACTATTCTATGGCTATCTAGGCTGCCACCCAAACCGATCTAAACGGGACCCGATAGCTTATTGTATGCTATATAGTCATATGGAAGTGGACAAGAACTATACATTGTATTCCGGCCGATTGTTCTTGCATTTACTTATAAGTCAGGAAAATGGACTTAAAAGGGGAGTTGTTGAATGTAATTATTTTAATTATTAAATGTTGCCTATACACTAATCTGGACGAACTTCTCAATGTTGTGTTTATGTCATCCTATATACTATTAGTATGTTACCGTTCTAAAGTCAACCTCTCACATAACATTATATTGTTCATAGTATCAAAGTTTAATCAACAATATCAAGAGCAGCGATTTAAACCACTGAAACACCCAAACACAAGGCTGTTATCAGGCGCTAGTGCAGACGTGATGCATCGTAAAAACTGTATCGTGATGTCTTCAGAAATACAATTTTACTACGAGATAGTACGGCTAACGCTTACTCACCGGTGGAACAAAGACAATATCGCTAATACAGATATAACGTATTTGAATGTTAATACTAAAGACAAACAATCATTATTGCAGTGACGATATAACACGTATACACGTTTATTGTTAACTTTCATCAGTTTTGCTCTTCATTTTAATAACTTTGTTTTGACATATACATGTTGCAATACCCGACAAGCATGTTATACATAATTATGGGGCAGTTTTCAATCTTGTACTGACTTACTCTGGTGTTAATGAGCGAAGTTTATTGGCTTGTGTGTAAAACCCCGTTTTTCTGGTAATCCTATTATTACTTAGTTTATTTCTATCTAATAACACCCTGTTCTCTGGATCATGGCTCCGTGACTATCCATAACAATTAAGATGAACATTCAGTTCAAGTAAATGAATGAGTTTGTTTTGACGCTACAGTCAGTCAAAAAACCAATGCTGTGAGGTTTGATAACACACTTCTACCAGGTCGAACATCGTGGATCCTCATTTTCTGCCTAAAGAGAATCATAGTTCATATGCTAATCCATCTGCGAATACCCTCCCACTCAAGATGACCTTACTTGTTGCTAAATCTATCATCTATCCCCCCAATCTCCCCCCCCCCCCCCCCGCCCCCCCCCCCACCACACGCACGCACGCACGCACGCACGCACGCACGCACGCACGCACACACACACACACACACACACACACACACACACACACACATACACACACACACACATACACACACACACACAAACAAACAAACAAACAAACAACTGACCTAAATAACCTGGACAGGAAATACTGCTGATAGCCTCTGGTCAACTCAGCCGCGCCGACGCAGAATGTTCGTCCAACTCTGCAGGGGGCATTCTCAGTGGCTTCAAACGCGCTGAAATGTTTTCGCCTTGCATCCAAGATGGTGGACAAGTGAAATCGTATGAAATTTGGCTATTTTAGGTCCTATCTCTTTTTTGATTACCCAATAAAGTCAATTCATAGTTACACGGTTGTGAAGAAGCTTACAACTTTATAAGACTTATTCATCTCATTCCAAAAAAGCTACTCGCGCTCACATACAGTTGTAGTTATTATGTCACTGTTTTATTTCTTTAAAAATATATTACATGTTCAACAATAACAATTAAGATGAACATTCAATTTTCGATATAAGTAAATGAATAAGTGTGTTTTACGCCACAATCAGTTAAAGACCAACGTTGTCCGGTCTGATGACACACAATCTACCAGGTAGCACATTGTGTACACCCTATCCCCATTGAAGTCTCCACTGTGGGTATTCCTGGGGACGAAAAGGCCCCATGTACCTAGGAATTTCATCAATACATTCATGCGCGGCATTCTCTGCCTAAAGAAGATCATATAGTTAACATGCTAATCCAACTCGAATGTTTTATGTAACATCCAACAGGCCCAGACTTACGCACGCACGCGCACACACATATTTGGATTTACCAATCCCTGAATTGAGAAGACGTGCGTTACGAAGCTCCTCCAAGTCATCATCAATATCCGTATATGTCTGTGATATCATTACCCATCCAAAGCCGAATATACATTTATTATGTTTTCTTGTCAACAAATGTTATAATTGGGATAACACTTTCTGAGTAAAGTACAGATTCTCGTACTTTCTTGGGTTTAGTCCCGTCCGGGATTTGAACCCACACTGTGAGTGAGGCACCCAATCGCCAGAACACAAAGTTGGCGATCTAACCCAGCCACCGAATCAAAAATGTTAGTCCAGATGACGTATACTTTGTGTACTCCTCTGACAAGAGAAAAATGGCACGGCTTCTGTAACCGAAAGCTTTGAACCAACAATGCCAAAGAAAGTGGTCAACAGTAACACACGTTATATTTGGATACCACTTTCTAAGTAAACTACATATTTTTAGGGTGGAGATAATAGACGTTGATGGTTGATTATCAATGGACAAATTAAAGCCAAAACTTAACTTATGAATGATTGGTAATGGGAAATGGACAATGGGCAAACGGGAGGCGGGGTAATCAGCGCCATGCCAGTTATCTGTTGGCTTCCCTTGTTGCGTTCCCTTCTTTGCTATCTTTTTACTTTTGTTGTTCTTACAGGTACAAATATATGTTCTCTGCCTCATAGCATTTAATAATATGCACCTGATGAAGGAGAAAGTATATATTCTGAAACGCAGTGTTCCTCCGTTGACATCCATAAATATTTTTCCTTGTGTGTATCAGTTCTTAATGCCCTTCAAAGACTCAATCTAGCTTTGTTTTTAAATGTGGTGATATTTGCGTAGAATATAATATGGCCATGCCTATATACATTTGGCTCTTTGTCTACATAAGCATTTAGACATATAATTTAGAGCTAAGGACATTGCTAATTCTGCAGGCATGAAGTACACGTCATAGCAAGCTGTGATCTTTATTCATACTTTAGATATTCGTAATGGAGATCTGTAACTGAAGTTTACCGTAATCTTCCGCAACTCTCACCTCCTGACCAGTTGAACGTCTTAGTGCATTCAGATGCCATTGTCAAATTCCAGGCTGCCCCTCTTTCTGTGATGTTTTGACGGATGAAATCTATTGCGTTATAATAATCTCTGTTTGCTGATATATAATATGTACATGTTGTAAAATATTAACGATATTTTAAACGTGTAATTCGATACATATGCAATGCAATGTGAACATAAGTGCGGATGCACGAAGGCGGTTATAGTCATAGTTATACTGCGATGGATGTAGGGGAATGGTAGGGGGGTGTATGTATGTATGAAAGCACGAATACCGATACATGAGGGCGGATATAGTTATAGTTCGATGGATGTTGGGGAATGGTGGGAGGATGGATTATGTATGAAAGCATGCGCATGGATCCATGATGGCTGACGTAGACATAATGGTGGGGAAAGAAGAATGTGCGTGTATTGCTATATAAGTGCAGAGATTTCTCTCTAACGGTACGACTTATATTCACAATTTAATTTCTTGTATAAACAGTCAAGTCATGGCTGCAGTTTTGCGAATCATGCCACGTATGAACAGACGT